ATTAGTATTACCAATAATGATATGCTTAATGATGGTTGATGACTATCAGCATATATATTATATGATAGTGAGATATGGATCATGACAATAAATGACTTAATATATGTAATTAATGATGATTAATTCATTCAATAATAACCAATAATAACAACCAATAATAATAGTGATTGATGATATAGTAATAAACTTAGTGTGGTATTGGTTAATAATGATTAATAATAAATTGTGAATTAAATGAATAATAAAGATACTAATAATATAGAATGATATTGATAATCAAGTATGAAATGATATCAGCCAATAAGATTGTATCTGTATTGATAATAATTTAATAAATATATTGATAACGATGATAATGATAATGATAATAATCATAGCAATAATAATTTTATTATGATAATGATATGGTATAATTAATGATAAATTGTAAATTTGATATGATGATAATGTAATAAAATAGAAATTTGATATCAGCCATACTGTACAATGATATAATTGATAAATAATATGTTGAATTAACGATAATGATAATGTACTGATGAATAACATAGTAATAATTAATGATTATATGAATAATGATGATGTTAGAATTAATATGATAATAAAATGATAATGATAACAATTAATAACAGGAAAGTAAGATGAACAATAATGATATACATGACCATAATATAATATAATGTTAATGATAAAATAATAAAACAAGTAATGAAAAAAATGAGTAGTAATATGTACTATAATGATATGAACATCATTCATGATTAACAAAGTCTAATGATAATAGTATTAAATGATAGCAATAACAATCTATTGATAGTAATAACAATTGATAGAAAGAATGATATATGATAATAATGATATTATTAATAACGAATAATGTATAGATGAATGAATGTGCATTTATCCAAAGAAGAAAAAGAATAAAACAGATAAAAAAGTACATGCAAAACCCACATAACATAAGACAAAGAAAGTGAATATTTTTCTTATGAAAAATTCCTTAATCCCCCCTCCCTCTAAATAAAAAAAAAAAGAGGAAAGAGGAAAGAGAAAGTAGCCGAGAGAGAGAAAGAAGAGAAAGAGAATGAGAATGAGGATGAAATCCCAGAGGACTTCAAGTTGAATCGCCTTCAAAAGTTTGTCGAGTGCGGAGTAATCCGTTGAAACGAATGATAACTTGAGAGCGAAACTTGGATAACGGTACAAGCCAAATTCAAAGGGGTAGGAATAAAAGTGAAAGTTAGAGCATGGCAGGAGGGTGAGGGAAAGAGGTGAGAGGGCTAGATGAGGAAGAGGAGGAAACGCGGGAGCGAAGGTGAGAAGGAGGGAAATGGGGGAGACAAATGGAGAAGTCGAGGAAAGAGAAGAAGAGTTGAGAGAATGAGAGAGAGAGATGCCGGAGAGATGAGAGACGAGAGAGTCCCTATAACATGCGAGACAGAATGAGAGAGAAGAGATTGAAGTGTGTAGAACGAGAGAAGAACCTGAGACACGAGTAACGAGATGAGAAAGAGAGAACGAGAGATACGATGAGAACGGATGGAACGAGAGAACGAGAGACGAGATGAACGGCAGAACGAGAGAACGAGAGAACGAGAAACGAGTAAACGATGTAAAACGAGAATAACGATGAGAACGAGAGAACGAGAGAACGAGAGAACGAGAGAACGATGATTAACGATGAGAACGAGAGGACGGAGAAACGAGAGGAACCTGAGAAGAATGAGTGAGGGGAGACGGAATAAGGAGGTGAAAGTAGAGGGAGAAGTTCCTATAAGCAATGGCACTGGAGACAACGTGCACAGATAGATAGAAATAGGTAGATAAGCTATTTGATAGACAGAGATAGACAGATAGACAGTCAGCCAGCTAGCCAGCCAGCTAGACAGACAGATAGAGAGAGAAAGAAAAAGGAGAGAGAGAATTCCGATAAACAATGACACCTGCGCGAGAACGTACTAACAACACAAAACGAGTACAACAATAATATCAACAAAATGACTTGGTATGATATCGAGTGGGCCTCGTCTGAATGAGACAGCCCGATGTACGATAAGGTTCACTCGGCGCCGGGACCTTAATGGGAACAAATTGGAGGGTATATAGGGGAGTGAGAAGAGAGCAGATGAGAGAGAGAGAGAGAGGAGAGAGAGAGAGAGAGAGAGAGAGAGAGACGAGAGAGAGTGAGAGAGAGAATGAGAGGGGGGGAGGGAGAGAGATGGGCATGAGGAAGATGGGGATGAGATGAGATAAGAGTGTTGGGAAGGGAGAATGTAGAAGAGGATGAAAGAGATGGAGTGGATATGTGAGACAAAGAGCGTATCATATATATTATTAATTATATATATATATATATAATATAATATAATATTAATATATTTTATATTATATATATATATATATATGCATACAGAGAGAGTAAGAGAGAGTGAGAAATAGAAGAAAGAAATGTGACGAAAATGATTGTTTGACAACATAATATGTTGAAAGAGAACGATCAATAAACGTAATTAAAAAAAGACATAAAGGTGATAAAAAAACAAAACAACACAAAAAATATAAAAATATAATAAAAATAACCAAAAAAATGACAAAGACAACGAGAAGAATGAGTACCAAAATGTGTTAATGCAAGAAAAAACCGTAAGCAACCAAAACAAAACAAAAAAATTTCACGTTCACAAAAACATTCCCAAGCTGAACGTGAAATTATGCATGACACGTAAAAGGGATTCATGCATAATTCATTCCTCCGCCAAAAGGAAATTGCATGTACCTGAATTATTAATGAAAGTTTAAAATTACAAAACTAATTATCAGATTGCCGTCACTGCATAATTTGTTCAATGCTATTTTTCCCAGGTAGTTGTGCTGTATCTGACATGAGTTTAATGTTTTACTGTTAAAAAATTCAAAGATGTCAGTTGTATATAATATATAATATATATATATATATATATATATTATATATATGATATATATAGTACTAATATATAATATAATATATTATATATAATATATATGATATATATATTATACATATATGTATATATAGTATATACTACATTCATTACATACATACATACATACATACATACACACACACACCACACACACACACACACACACACACACACTCACACCACACTCACACACTTCACACACTCTCACACTCTCACACTCACTCCCACAGTCTCACACTCTCACACTCACACACACACGCACACACACGCACACACACACGCACACACATAACACACACACACACACACACACACACACACACACACACCACACACACACACACACACACAACACACACACACATTTATATATATATATATATATATATATATATATATATACTCAGACAGAGCAAGAGACAGGCAGACAGAGACACAGATAAACAGATAGGAAAGATACAAACAACAAGCATAGACAGAACAGGCAGACAAGCAAGCAAAAGCAAATAAGCAAGTAGCAGAGCAAAAATGACAAGCAAGCAAAGCAAATAAAGCAAGTAGCCAGACAAAAATGACAAAAACAGACAAACAAACAAACAAAATCAAGCGGAAGAGACTGAAATCGCGAGGGAAAACAAACAAACAAACAAACAAACAAAAAAGCCAAGCGGAAATAACAGAAACGAGACAAAAACAACAAACAAACAAACAAAAAAAAAAGACCAAGCGGAAGAAACTGAAATCGCTAGGGAAAACAAACGCATACTCCACAGCATACTCCCAGATTCCATTCACGTCTCGCTCCCCCCCCTTTTCCAGTACAACGACGTCGCTATGCTGACCTTGGAACGACCCGCTGTCTACACGGCGCAAGTACGACCCGTCTGTCTGGACAAGAGTCAGCGGCGGTATGCTGCGATACGTGACGGTCGACAGGTCCAGTTGGGCAGCATGTATGAAGGTATGCTGAGGAGAAGGGTAAAAGCATCATGTTATGTTGAGTGAGAGAGGGAGAGAAAAAAAAAAAACGGTTTATACAATATAATGTAGAATAATGCTGAAGAATGATGATTTTACATTCAAATTCTATCGAAGATTTATTCATATTTTCTGCACTATCGCATCCATACCCTTTTTTTTATTACATTCATTACAACAAATTATCAAAGTTTTATGCGAGTTTCCCCTCCTCTCGGATTTTTAACTCCCCGTTTTCTTTATTTCAGGCGGCCCGCAATCGCCAACGCTGTACCAAGTGCGCCTGCGCGTGTGGAGCAACGAGGACTGCGCACGTAAATACGGACGAGCTGCGCCTGGCGGGATTGTCGACTCGTATCTCTGCGCGGGACAGGATGGGAAAGATTCGTGCCAGGTGAGATGGAGGGAGAGGAAGGGAGAGAGGAAGGAGGGAGGGAAGGGGAAAAGAGGGAGGGCGAAAAGAATAAGGAAGGGTAATGAGGGAGGGAGGCGAAGAAACAAAGAAGAAAGGAGAGAAGGGTAAAGAGAGAGGAAAGTAGATGGAGGTGGGAGGAATGAAGAGAGAATGAAGTAGAAAGAAGGGGATGAATGAGAGAGAGAGAAGGCTACAGAAAGAAAGAGAGAGAGATACAGAAAGAGAAAGAGAAGTGAGAGAGAGCGAGAGATACAGAGAAAAGAAAGAAGAGAGAGAGAGATACAGAAAGAGAAAGAGAGAGAGAGAGAGAGGAGAGATACAGAAAGAGAAGAGAGAGAGAGAGAGAATACAGAAAGAGAGAAAGAGAGAAATATAGAAAGAGACAGACGGAAATAAATAGAGCGAAATCACGAGGGGGTCAACCTCTCCCCACTAACCCATCTCCCCCCCCCCTCCAGGGCGACAGCGGCGGCCCCCTGGTCAAGTACGAGAACGGCGTGTGGACTCAGGTCGGGCTGGTGTCCTGGGGCATCGGGTGCGGTAAGGGTCACTACCCGGGCGTTTACTCCAGAATCTCGTCCTTCTTGCCGTGGATCAACCGTGTCCGAGCCGCATACCGATAGAGAAGCAGGTTCTTGCCCCGAGAAGCGCACGTCAGGGAGGGAGAGGACAAGGAAGTCGCAGATTGGATCATAATTTTCTTCTTCTACAGGAATGTGTATATATGTATAGGTATATACAAGCACTATAGAGAATTGGCATTAGGATTTACCTTTTTATTTTCTATCTTCATCGGGATTTGTGTTGATTTATAAAGGGATGTAATTAATCTATGCAATTGTATGATTTGTTAAAGGATGTAATTAGCATATGCAAGATTTTATGGGCAATGTAATTATCTATATGCAAGGAGTTATGTCGATGGGTACTTGGGCTTGAATGAGTAAGGTGAGTCTCATGAATACATATTTACTCATTGAGTCATTCGGTCTTGTTCTGACCCGAGTTAACATCACGCGTGCCTGTCTGTCTGTCACTGTCTATCTTGTCGTGTCCCTCTGTCTATTTGTCTGTCTCCTTCTTTGTTTAGTCTTTTTTTCCCTCTCTCGTAACTTTCATTTCTCCCTTTCTCTGTCTCCATCCCTCCTCTCTCCCTTTCCATCTCCGTCCTTATTCCATTCCCTCTCTTTCTCCCTCCTTATTCCCCTGCCTCTATCTCTCCCTCCTCTTTATCTCACTTCCTCCTCCTCATTCCACTCCCTCCCTGCTCCTTATCCCACTCTCTCCTTCTCTTCCTCTTTCCTATTCCATTCTCCTCATCCCTCCTCCCTCCTCCCTTATCCCCTTCCTCCCTCCCTCCCCCTCCTCCCTTCCTCCCTTCCCTCTCCCTCTCTCATATCCCCTCCCTTTCCCTCTCTCCTCCTTATCCCACTCCCTCCCTCTCTCCTCCTCATCCCCCTCCTACCTCCTCATCCTCCCTCCCTCTCTCCTCCTTACCTCCCTCCTTCTCCTTACATTAACTCCAGGACATGTCAAGACCATCTCGAGTATCAGGTAGCAGTGAAGCTCCTCCTCGGTCGTCGAGAGCCCTCCCAACGCACGGTCTTTGTACCCTCCGCACTGAGGACTCGACGGCTCTCTTGTCGCGATAAGGTCTTCATATCAAAGACATTTGAGGGGAAAGTATACGTAGGATTTAGCGATCTGCAAGGTCCTAGATTCCCCTCCTCCTCCTCCTCCTCCTCTTCCGTTCGCAGCTCTCGGTGTCAAAATTCGTACTGTCTCACGTCATTCGGAAGCGATGGGGAGGAAAGAAGAGGCATTATGGTACTGTTTCATCAGGCGGTGTGATTTCATGACGTCAAATATCTCAAAAATTAACATGTTTCTATACATAAACATACACACACACATTCACACAAACACACAAACATATGCAGGTGTAATATATTATATATATATATATATATATATATTTATATAATTATATATATTATATATTATATATATATGATATTCAATGTATATATATGTATAATTTATATATATGTCATATTATATATTATATACATATGTAATTATATATATATATGTAGTATATATATATATATTATATATTATATATATATTATATATATATATTATCTATATATTACATATGTATATACTATATACATATGTACATATATATATATGTATATATATTATACATAATTAAACATATAATATTATATACGTATATATAAATATATACATAATATATATACGTATACATATATACATATACGTATATACATATATAGTATATACAAATATATATATATGTATATACACGTATTATACATATAATATGTATATACGTATATACATATACACACACACACACACATATATGTATGTAAGTATGCATATAGGTGTACACGCACGCACAATCAAAGGCATTCACGGACATACATAAAGTGCTCAGGACATAATTTTAACCTAATCGGAATGACCGTCTTTCAGTCGAGTGTAAAATCATTCTCCCAGTAGCTTATCGTAAATCCTGTTTCACTAATGGATTTAAAGGCACGAAACAAAACAAAACAAAAGAAAAAGGAAAAATATAAATAAACGAGAAAGGTTATTTCATATCAGTTCAGTTTTAGTTGTTTTTTTCCAATCGTGATTAGCAGACATGGACGTAAAGTTGCTTTTGGCTCCGCCCACCTCCTGTCCCTGATTTTATGAATGAAATCTCGTTCATTGAATGGATTCGATACGCGATGTCTGTCAGTGATATTACGTTTAGACAGACGAACGTATTCCTCCCTTGTCTGAATTTTTGAGTGAAGGTAATTACTATGGTTGTATATTATCATTTTATAATGTTATTTCTTTATATTTGTAAAAGGAAATAACAAGCTTCTGTATGATATAAAACATTAGCTTTTTTTCTTTTGATACAAGAAATTTGTACGTAAGAGTGTAAAGGAATAGATTTTTCATTAAAGAACATTGGCAAATTAGTTTACAGACACAGTGTATGAGATGTCATTATAGGATGAAATTTGTTTTACACATTCTTAAATAAAATCCAACAGAAATAAAGTGATTTATCGGCAAATGTGATTTAATTTCCCTATCATTGTTGTTATAAGGCAA